CTTGTTTTGGATTGTCTCCAGAACAAACCACTGTTATACACTGACTTGCCCTAACTTTACCCTAACTAACCTAGTTAAGCCTCACTATAAGCTGAATACTAGTGTCTTGAAGAATATCTAGTCTAATATTATGTGCTGTCATCATGGCAAAGATAAAAATTAATTATTAAAACTATTGTGTAAACAGAAATTGGGGGGAAATATAGAAGAAAAAGGGCTAATAATTCTAATATAAGTGAAAATGTCATTTATTCCTGTGATTAAATGCTGAATTTCTTTTAGTGACGTGATTCATCTTTCTAATATGTTGATTAGATAATAATTCTTCTGCTTTACATCAGTGACAAAAGCTTCATCATCTGATTTAGATGCTACATAAATTATCAATACAAATATTTTAGTTTTCATTTTCTGAAAGTTTTCAGTGATCAACAATATTGAACAAATTGTTAAATATTTGTACAAAATGTTAAACAGACGCACATCTACTGTAATATTTTGTAAAAATGAAATTTATTCCTGTGATTTAATGCTGAATTAATTGTATCGATGTGATCCTTTAGAAATCATTCTAATATTTCTGCTTAACGTCGATGATTAAAGTTCCTTCATCATCTGATTTAGATGCTACAGTCTGGTGTATTGCAATAACACAAATTGTCAATGAAAATATTTTAGTTTTCATTTACAAAGAGATTTCAGTGATTAAAAATATTATAAAAATTTTAAATATGTTTTTACAATTTAACATGCACACACATCTAGTGTAATACTTCATAAAAATGTAATTTATTCCTGTGATTAAATGCTGAATTTATTTTAGCGATGTGATCCTTTAAATCATTCTAATATGCTGATTAGATAATAATATTTCTGCTTTAGGTCGATGATTAAAGTTCCTTCATCATCTGATTTAGATGCTGCAGTCTGTTGTGTTGCAATAACACAAATTGTCAATGAAAATATTTTAGTTTTCATTTTCTGAGAGTTTTGAGTGATTAAAAATATTGAAAAAATTGTAAAATTTTTTATGATTTAAATGCATGCACATCCACTGTAATACTTTCAAAAGCTGTCATTCATTCCTGCGATTTAATGCTGAATTTACTGTACCAACGTGATCCTTTAGAAAGCAATAAATTAATAATAATTCCGCTTTTACATCAATGATGAAAGCTCCTTAATATTATTGTGGTACAATTTTGCTCGTCTTAATTTTTTAAATGTAAAAAATAATAAATCTCTCAGTGTTCTATATGATCTTATTTTGCATTTCCTCTGAATAAAAGCATCAACTTTTTTCTAAAATAAAATGATAACAAGCAAAATCAATCAGTAACTTTTCTTTTTTACTTAAAAGGCATGTTTTAAAAGCTTATATGCTTAAAAAGCTCAATTTAAGTAATTTAAGATTGAGACTTTGTTAAAATATAAAAATAAATCTGAAAGTGGTGTTGAAATGCAAATCAACAAATGGTAACACTTTACAATACGGTTGTATTAGTTAACGCTGAACTGAATTTACATGTATTACAGTATTTGTTTGTGTTAGTTAACAAAAATACAGTTGTTTGTAGTTCATGTTAACTCACAGTGAATTAACCTATGTTAATAAGCATACATTTGATTTTACAAACACATTAGTAAATGTCGAACCATGATGAATAAATGCTCATCAAGTATTGTTCAATATTAGTTCATGTTTATAATTAACTAATGAAAATGTAATGTAAAGTGTGACCTAAGAAATTAAGTAGAATAATACACTTTTCCAAAGTAAACGATAGCATAATTCTGTCTTGTGAGAATGAATGATTCAAGCTCGAGATTATTCTGATCATTTCTCACACTGGCATCAGATACAAGAAGCTAAAAAAGGTCCAACACTGACCTCTAGTGGAGGAGTTCAACAAGTTAAACATTACAAAAGCTTCTGACCATGTTGGGATGACAGGAAAACGAAATAATTATAAGGGTTTGCACAACGGAAATAACCGCAATCTATTCCCGCATATGTTTTAAGCCGTAGATGCCCTTTCAGCCGCAGCCCAGTACTGGGAAACACCCATACGCACTCACATTCACACACATGCTCACACACCACGGCCAATTTAGTTCATCAATTCCCCTATAGCGCATGTGTTTGGACTGTGGGGGAAACCGGAGCACCCGGAGGAAACCCACGCCAACACGGGGAGAACATGCAAACTCCCCACAGACACACCAGCTCGAACCAGCCACCTTCTTGCTGTGAGTCCACAGTGCTAACCACTGAGCCTCAATGAACATGAATGCAGTTCAGAGTCTTTCTTTCGGTTGATTAAAATGTGCAGCCGGTCTGAACAGGCCTTGAGTTTCCAAAACAAACAAGAAAAGCCAAATACTTTCCCTCTGGACAGCCTCTGCGTGTCTCTTCTTCCTAATCTGAAGCGGTTGACAAGACACCAGTTCCGGAGTTCTGCTGACTGTATTCAGCCTGTAAAGGGTAATGAATGGCCGGATGCTCTCAGGTTAGTCTCTGCCTTCCCAGCAACCTCCATTGAGTCTGGCCGTCTGTACACTGTAAAAATATAGTATGACAAAAAAGCATCACAGCAAAAGATTTTGCTTTACTTCAACTTATTTTAAAAGTTAACAACTCATTTTTTTAAGTTATACAAAGTTTAACCTACTATTTTTAGTCAGTGTGACTGATGTAAGTTAAAATGACTCGAAAAGGTCGACTGATATTGATTCAGCTAAGATATTTAAGGATGTAGAATTTTTTTACAGAGTCTGTCTGCCTGTCCTTCTGTCTATCTGTATGTCTGTCTATCTGTCCTTCTATCTATCTATCTATCTATCTATCTATCTATCTATCTATCTATCTATCTATCTATCTATCTATCTATCTATCTATCTATCTATCTATCTATCTATCTATCTATCTATCTATCTAACTGTCTGTCTGTCTGTCTGTCTGTCTGTCTGTCTGTCTGTCCTTCTGTCTGTCTGTCTGTCTGTCTGTCTGTCTGTCTGTCTGTCTGTCTGTCTGTCTATCTATCTATCTATCTATCTATCTATCTATCTATCTATCTATCTATCTATCTGTCTGTCTGTCTGTCTGTCTGTCTGTCTGTCCTTCTGTCTGTCAGTCAGTCTGTCTGTCTATCTGTCTGTCTGTCTGTCTGTCCTTCTGTCTGTCTGTCTGTCTGTCTGTCTGTCTGTCTGTCTGTCTGTCTGTCTGTCTATCTATCTATCTATCTATCTATCTATCTATCTATCTATCTGTCTGTCTGTCTGTCTGTCTGTCTGTCTGTCTGTCTGTCTGTCTGTCTGTCTGTCTGTCTGTCTGTCTGTCTGTCTATCTATCTATCTATCTATCTATCTATCTATCTATCTATCTGTCTGTCTGTCTGTCTGTCTGTCTGTCTGTCTGTCTGTCTGTCTGTCTGTCTGTCTGTCCTTCTGTCTTTCTGTCTGTCTGTCTGTCATTCTGTCTGTCTGTCTGTCTGTCTGTCTGTCTGTCTGTCTGTCTGTCTGTCTGTCTGTCTGTCTATCTATCTATCTATCTATCTATCTATCTGTCTGTATGTCTTTCTGTCTGTCTGTCTGTCAGTCTGTCTGTCCTTCTGTCTGTCTGTCTGTCTGTCTGTGAGCACATTCTGTCTCCGCTCTCCAGACGTCAGCTCAGAGAAAACACTCCCACACACACATGCATGCATACACACACACACACTCCGCCATTCACAGCACACACACTTCTCTACAAATGGAGAAAAAACGGTACAGATTTGATAAGTTGCATGTAATCAGCTTTATTAGAGAGGCCTGATAAGAAACCATCACTCATATTGATCATTTACTAGTCATGAAGGATTCCTCAAATCATGTGTATTCCTATTTACTCATTCATACTCATGTTCATTTATATATATATATATATATATATATATATATATATATATATATATATATATATATATATATATATATATATATACAGTTCTGTTTAACAGAGAGCCGATTTTGACAAAGCACTTCAGTTTGGTTGTTGGTAAACACTAATAACTCTGTATAATCAATTAATTAAATATCAAGATTATATTAATATGCCATGGTATTTATCAAAAAAAAAAAAGTTGAAGCAGTAAAATGAGTAAAACTGAAATTATATTAGGACCAACATATCTTTTAATGTAAATGACTAGCTACTGTAATATATATATATATATATATATATATATATAATTGAAGTCAGAATTATTAGCCCCCCTGTTATAAAATTAGACCTTTGTGATTGGTTATGATTATGATGTCAGATCTTATGATTGAAATGCATCAATGCATCATAGTCAAATACGCGCTATCATCGAGCACTTCAGCTCATGCTAATTTCTCCTCATAAGCATGAAAGCTGTTTGCATTGGTATAAATAATTCTAAATTAAGCATCAAAAGAGACGATCACACATACAAAAAAGACTTGATCATAAAAAATATGAAATGAATGCATCTGTGTTTATATAATTAAACCTTTGTGATTGGTTATGATGACGTCAGAGCGATCGTACAATTGAAATGCACCAATGCATCATGGTCAAATACGCCCTATCGTCAAGCACCTCGGCTCATGCTAATTTCCCCTCATCTGCATGCAGGCTATTTGCATTGGCGCCCACATCAAACGTGGTCCAGATTCAGGACGGCCCTTTTGACCCCGCTGAGGAGTGGACAGAGTCATCGGCTGCGCTGCTGTGTAAGCAATGATAAGGCACTTCTTAATGTGTTTGCACAGGGGCCTGAGTAAAAAGGGCCTCTGACGCAGAAGGGCCCACTGCCTGCTGCCACCTTCACAATGGAGGGACCCCGACACCAAACACGGCCTCAAATGTCACACATCTCCAGATCCTGATTGGCCGATTTCAGTGTGGGCGTCTCGTTTTAAAAGGTGCAATGCATGTGTGGTGATGCTAGAAGAAGCGCGGCGGAAAATATACTGTAAACCTGACAAGCCTTTTCATCTTAGAGGCGCATTGGTGCATGAAAATTGGCAGGCATCTGAAGACAATATACTCATTTAGGTATCTGTAGAATCTGCTTTGCTGCACGGTCTCACCTTTAGGTTTCTGAGATGTTTAGGGTGCTGAAAGTATTGACCACAGTTGCTCTGCTGACTGTCGCTTCAATCGTGGATGCTGCTCCACTGATGCCCGGAGAACCAGATGCCTTTAAGGAACCAGCTGATGGAGGTAAAAACAAAACAAACCGCCTCATGCACACTCTTAATAAAAGATTCTTGCATTTATTTAGCTGAAGCAAACACACATATGTGGGCAATTCTTCAACTACGGGCACTTTTAGCCTTGTGAAGTGGAAAACTTGTTCAAAAGTAGCGTAGCACAGCCTCATAAGTTTCAACAATTTGTCTAGTTTTAAGATCTGTAAGAGGACAAACTTAGATACACTGAAAAAAATTATCTAAAGATGATTCCTTGAATTTACTTAATTTTTTTAAGTTAAGGGGTTGTAAACAATTTGTTTATGTTGAATTTAAACAAATAAATTAAGTTGAAAATCCCTAAATTTAATTTGTTTAAATTCAACACAAATAAATAGTTTGCAACAATTTTGCAGACAACATTTTTTTCAGTGTATTAAGAGAAATTGTTAATAATTAAACATTTTGTCCATCGTGAACTGAGCAAATCTAATTTTCTCCACATCTCAATATGCCTTTATTTCAAAATGAAATCAATTATGGCAGTCAAACATTGTCTAAGATCATTTTTGTATCTAGTCTAACCAATCTTTCCACAATATATACAATAATTATACATTTGTCAATGAAATAAATTAGTCCCTTATAGGACCAAATGCTGAATTGTGCACCTAATTGTACACTGAAAAAAAGGATGTCTGCAAAACTGTTGCAAACAATTTATTTGTGTTGAATTTAAACAAATACATTAAGTTAAAAATCGCTAAATTTAATTTGTTTGTTTAAATTTACCACAAATAAATTGTTTGCAACAATTTTGCAGACATTTTTTTCAGTGTATTAAGAGAAATCTTTAATAATTAAACATTTTGTCCATCCTGAACTGAGCAAATATCATTTCCACCACATCTCAATATGCTTTTATTTTAATATTAAATCAATTATGGCAGTCAAACACTGTCTTAGGTCATTTTTTTGAATCTAGTTTAACTAATCTTTCCACAATATATACAATAATTATACATTTGTCAGTGAAATAAATTAGTCCCTTAGGACCAAATGCTGAATTGTGTAAATACATGTATTTACTGTGTACTTATGCTTGATTGATTGAACTTCTGTAATCACATTTGTAAATACACTGTTGACCATTCCCTACACCTTAACCCACCCTTAAACCTACCCACGCCACCAAACCTGTCCATAACCCAACCTCTATCCCAACTCAAGAGCACCACAAGTGTTCTCAAACACATTATGAACACAGTAAGTACATTGTATTTATTTTTTGATGTAAGTACATAGTAGTTAAGGACACTTAATGTAAGTGGGACCATCTTTGCATAACTCAGAAAATTGAGTTGAAGGCTGATTAACCCATTAAAGTGAGTTAGCGCAACATGACTTTTTACCACGCATTAATTTACATTCATGCATATGATCATCTCATGAGAACCCATGACTTCAGTGCATTATATTAGAAACACTGAATTCTACACTGTAAAACATTATATGAACAATTAGTCACGACGGGCGATGCAGTGGCGCAGTAAGGTAGTGCTGTCGCCTCACAGCAAGAAGGTCGCTGGTTCGAGCCTTGAGTTGCTCAGTTGGCGTTTCTGTGTGGAGTTTGCATGTTCTCCCTGCGTTCGCATGTGTTTCCTCCGGGTGCTCCGGTTTCCCCCACAGTCCAAAGACATGCGCTACAGGTGAATTAGGTTGGCTAAATTGTCCGTAGTGTATGAGAGTGTGTATGGATGTTTCCCAGAGATGGGTTGCAGCTGGAAGGGCATCCGCTGTGTAAAACATATGCTGGATAAGTTGGCAGTTCATTCCGCTGTGGCGATCCTAGATTAATAAAGGGACTAAGCCGAAAAGAAAATGAATGAATAAAGTAGCTCAAATATTATTACTGATTTCATGTAAGTAATCTGTCACTTTACTCGTTATCTTAGAAAAGTAATATTAATACTGAACGTGCATTAATACAATGCATAGCCCCAACACTGGCAAAATGAACCTGTTCACCTGTGCTTTCTCATGTGCGAATAATCTGGATTTTACTGGATCTCCACCGTAGTCAAGTCTACAGACACAAAGAGATGGCAGAGCACCAACACTATTAGTCCAGCGGCACCAGACTCCTGCGCTTCTCTATTGGTCTTGTGCTGTCCGCACTTCCAGTGTGTGCAAACCTTAAATCTGCCATTACACATTCAGGTTCTGGATTCGACCTCCGGCTAAAATTGGCTCAGGAGTTTGGAGTAGGTTACATAATGCTTGAATTAGGTCATTAAGTCTCAGCTGATCTCGTTCAGGTTCATTGTGACCTGGATATGCACGATGAATATGATCTTCACCATGCATGCAACAATACATTCTCAGAAAAAAGGGGCAAGAATAGTATATTAACGGATTAATTCACCTAAAAATGACTCAAGTGGTAAAGTGTTGAAGGTTTTATTTGAACTATCCAGTTAAGTGCATCCTTATTTAAGCAATTGAAGGGACAGAGGTGAGTAGAGTATCCAAAATCAATACTCAAGTAAAATTACAAGTACCTGCGGATATTTTTACTCAAGTAAAGGTAAAAGTAACAATCTTAAGTTACTCGAGTAAGAGTAAAAAAGTATTTGATAAAAAAAATTACTCAAGTAAATATTTACTAGTTACTTTTCATCCTATATATATATATATATATATATATATATATATATATATATATATATATATATATATATATATATATATATATAGCTGAAGTCAAAATTCGACCTCTTGTAATGTTTTTTCATTTTTAAATGTTTAACAAAGCAAGGAATTTTTCACAGTATTTCCTGTGACATTTTTTCTTCTGCGGAAAGTCTTACTTGTTTTATATTGATTGGAATAAATGCATTTTTTAATGTTTATAAAACAATTTTAAGCTACCTACTATACCCTAACTTGCCGAATTAACCTGGATTAAGCCTGTAATATTGCTTTAAGCTGAATACTAGTATCATGAAAAATATCTAGTAAAATAAAATGTGCTGTCATTATGGCAAAGTTAAAAGAAATTGGTTATGAAAACTATAGAAATGTGTTGATAAAATCTTTCTGTTAAACAGAAATTGGGGAAAAATATACAAGTAAGCTAATAATTCTGATGTTTCATATATATATATATATATATATATATATATATATATATATATATATATATATATATATATATATATATATATATATATATAAACACCATTTTTATGTTAAAAGATAGTGTTAAAATGTGTAATTTTTAATAGTTAACAGTGTGAATGACTTGTATGTGCAGGGCTAATCAGTTATTCCTTTATACAGTAGTTTTTTCTTTTAAACCCACGCGAACGCAGGGAGAACATGCAAACTCCACACAGAAACGCCAACTGACCCGAGGCTCGAACCAGCAACCCAGCAACCTTCTTGCTGTGAGGCGACAGCACTACCTACTGCGCCACTGCATCACCCGAAACAACAACAACAACATACAGATAAAAATCTGCCTTTAATTTTTTCATTAAAATGTAATTAAATTAATAAATGACAAAAAAAAAAAAAAAACATTATCAGTTAATAGGCTGTTGCATTTTTGTGTTGTCAATATACTCATGTTTACATATGCCTATAGTTGTGTTTGCAACGTTTATATATTTAAAATATAACCACCTTGAAAAATGGGGGTCGCGAGTCACTGACGTTGTTATTTTGGGTGCCGCGGGCTGAAAAGTTTGGGAACCCCTGGGTTAGCATGCCATGATGGACAGAGGCAAGTAGGCAAATTTGTCAAGGACGCCGGGGTGAAACGCCTACTCATCCTGGGATTTTCAACGACCACATAGAGTCAGGACCTCAGTTTAATGTCTCATCTGAAAAACAGCGCTCATAGTTTCCCCTACACTATACTGGGATCCACACAGACCACAGGTTGAGCGCCCCCTGCTGGTCTCACTAACACCACTTCCAGCAGCAACCTATCTTTCCCATGTGGTGTCCTATCAAGGTACTGACTGGGTGCAGCCATGCTAAGCTTCAGTGGGCGATCATGTTAGAGTTGCAGAGAGCTAGCTCCCAGCTGACAGCGTAGCATAGGATGCCGGCTTTGACAGTGTTAAGTTGTTCTGCGGTATGCAAAGATGATGTAATGCATACAGAAATACATATAAATGTTCATACATTTTTTTAAAAATCACATTATTAAAAACATTGAGTGATTTAAAATGCTGATGACCCTTAAACGTGGCTTAACAGTCTCGCGAAAAGGGTCAATTTCTCAGTTCTCAAAATGTAGCCCTGGGCACATTATTCCAATGATCCTGGGTTGCTTTTTCCAATGAGTCTGTGTTGTAAAAAAAACCACCAGCGACGTCACCAAAACGCACTGTATTCGGTCGTCCGAGCAACTGCCTGATTTCCCAAAGACTTCAGTCAACACGAGTGCAGGCAGCGAGCGGCTCCGCATGTGTTTGTACATGAGTGTGAAGCAGCCATTTGTCAGCGTCCGCCTCTAAGATCAGAATGATGATGAGGAACGGGTTAGAAAGTTCCCCGGACAAAAGGCATTTATCATCTGTTACGTCGTGTATGTTTGTCCGAGCCCAGAAAAGGCCTTTTAGTGGATGTTTGAAGTGCACGATGTCTCTCTTTTCAAGGCTGTTTCAGTGCTTTGGGCATTCCCATTGACTTGTTTCTATGGGAACAATTCAGTGTCAACAGATTCTGTGCGCCACTAAATGAGACAAAGCCGAACAGAAAAGAGATGCACCAGAAAGTGGAATTGAAGACATGCAAACACGTAGCTGGAACTCTTTCAAGTAGATGAGCACTGAAGCGCTGTTTATAAAACTCAAATCTCACTTAAAGTCAGCATGTCATGGCTGAGATGGTCTTCACTACTGTGATGAATAACTAAGTGAACAAGAACATGTGTAGGACAGCACTTGATCTTGTTCATTAAAACTTGATGGGATAGTTAATGCTTTGCTATACAGTGCAGCAGACTGTTCTACAGTTGAAGTCAGAATTATTCGCCCCCCTTAAATATAAATATAAATATTTACCAAATGATGTTTAACAGAGCAAGGAAATTTTCACAGTATGTCTGATAATATTTTTTCTTCTGGAGAAAGTCTTATTTGTTTTATTTTGGCGAGAATAAAAGCAGTTTTAAATTTTTTAAACACCATTTTAAGATTAATATTATTAGCCACTTTAAGCTATATATATATATATATATATATATATATATATATATATATATAGTCTACAGAAGAAACCATCGTTATACAATAACTTTCCTAATTACCCTAACCTGCCTTTAATTAATCAGTTAAGCTTTTAAATGTTACTATTTAAAAAAAATATTTAGTCAAATATTATTCACTGTCATAAACAAAAAAAAAAATAAATAAATAAACAAAGGGACTAATAAATCAAATCACTTTTATTGTAATAATTCAGGGGGGCTATTAATTCTGACTTCATCTGTACATATAAAACTCCATTCTCTGTGAAATTGATTTTTACAGTATTTTATTTATAGACAGATCTGCTTTGAGCTCTGAGGTTTTCTAAAATTTAGCATGATCATATTTTCTTTTATATAAGTTCAGATCTACGTAAAGTACAATATGAAACGCAGAATGGCAATGTGACCTACACCCATATTTGACATTTTATTTTAACATAAACCTTTGCAACAAACAGTAGATGAGATGCGTTCTATATAAAAAATCTCTTTTGGAAATTTGATTTGATGCAAACATCAAAATCTGTTCCATTAAAAATGTATCGGATGATTAAGGTTTGCTGTGTAATGCTAAATGTAGTACTTTCTCTCCATGGGAAATTGAATTGTGCAATAAATAATACTATTTCAGATCTGCTTTGAGCTCTGATGTTTCTAATATGTTTTTTAAACTCATCTAATTAATCTTATTCAAATTACCTTTAAATGATCACTTGTGTTTAATAGCAGATTGTGCATTAAAAAGTGCATTAAAAATGGAAATATATTGTAGAATATTATATATAATATTATATTTATACAATTACATTTACAATTATCTATCCATCTATCTTCCCATCCATGTATAATTGTTTTTTCCTTTTTTAAATATTTCTTAATGTTTAACAGAGCAAGGAAATTTTCACAATATGTCTGATAATATTTTTTCTTCTGGAGAAAGTTTTATTTGTTTTATTTCCACTAGAATAAAAGCAGTTTTAAATTTTTTGAACACCATTTTAAGGACAATATTATTAGCCCCTTTAAGCTATTTTTTTGATAGTCTACAGAACAAACCATCGTTATACAATAACTTGCCTAATTACCCTAACCTGCCTAGTTACTAATTAACCTAGTGAAGCCTTTAAACATCACTTTAAGCTGTATAGAAGTGTCTTGAAGAATATCTAGTCTAATATTATTTACTGTCATCATGACAAAGAGAAAATAAATCAGTTATTAGAGATGAGTTATGAAAAATATTATGATTAGAAATGTGTTGAAGAAATCTGCTCTCCGTTAAACAGAAATTGAGGGAAAAATTATATAAAAATATTTATAAATATATGTAATATTTCATTGTTGTTTTTAATACATTTGTTTAATTTTAAGTATATTTGTTATTTGCCAGATTTTTATACATCTATACTTAAAATCACTAAGAATCTTTATTTTTTTCCAGATCCAGGAAGAACTGAAGCAAACACTGAAATAAATACAGCACTAATGAAGCAACTGAGGAGCAAAACACTGACGACATTTCCTGACGGAGATGGAAAAACTGTAGCGACGCGAGCATTAGATGAAATAATCACAGCAACAAGCAGCCCAAATAACAGAGACAAGAGCTTAAACACAGGAATCAGTAATCTATTAAATACACTGACAATGCTCTCCGATGGACACGAGGAGACCGAAGGCCATGATGAATCTCCCGAAAACAAAGAACTGATGGAGATTACAGAAAAATCTGATCCTGGTCCTCCAGAAGAGCTGCTGAAGATGCTGAGTGCACTTGAAGAGCTGCACAAGTTCATCAACAGCCACCGGATCACCATCATTACCAGAGGTGTGCTGAACTGTACTGTAACACCTCACAATAAGCTCGTATTAGTTAATGCATTTACTAATATGAACAAACAATGAACGATACATTAATTATTGCATTTATTCATGCTTTAATTCATTCACGGTGCATTAGCTCATATTAACAAGCATGAATTTAGATTTTAGTAAGACATTAATACATGTTGAACTATGATTAATAATGCGGCACAAGTATTGTTCATTATTAGCTTATGTTCGTAAATACACCAACTAATGAAACCTTATTGTAAAGTGTGACCATCAATACATTATTATTGATTAAAGTCTGAACTGGAAGTTACTGCCGGCTTTTATTTTAGTATGGTGATATATCTACTGCTGAAACGGAATATTGAGTAGGGGGTGGGGTTTATTTTTGGGCTCCTCTTCTAATTTTTACTCATAGCAAACTAATTGTTGGAGGGGCGTGGCTAAAGCAAATTCTGTCCAATCAGAGAAGGACTGTCTTTGCAGAAGCAGATGGGCAGATTTTGATTTAAGATTATTCCTTTTTTTCTTCTGTGGATTAACTTGCACAGACTAATTGTGCACCTCAAGACTAACAATACAGCACGATTAACATTGTACAACTGATTTTAAGACTTTAGAAATTATACATACTGTCAAGAACTATTTTGTCCAGCATTAATTAACCAAAAGTGCATTTCCAGCTGTTTTCAACACTGATAATTAATCAGAAATAATTTTGATCATCAAATATTTACTGAAGAATCATGTGATACTGATAACTGGAGTAATAACGCTGAAACAGAGCTTTCCTTCACATGATACGAATAAATTTTGCATTATTTTGAGTTTATTTAAAATGTGTAATATTTTACTATATTCACAAGTTTACATTTTATTTTTTTTTTATTAAATTAATCAAGCCTTCCTGAGCGGAAGACACTTCTTTAAAAAATAATTATTTGATAAATAACCCCAAACCCATGCATAATTAATTCTTGCATTTTTTTTCTTTCTTCAAAGGAAACAGCAATGGACGAAGTACAGGGAAGAAGAACAAAATGGTATGACCCTTTTCTTAAAAACAAATTCAACTTGATTAAAAAAAAACAAAAACACACACAAGCTAAAATGTCAAAGTCTAAAAAAAAGTGTACATAGCAAAATCTTGTACCACTTTTTCTCTTCAGATCTGCTTTGACCTCTGAGGTTTTTAATTAATTGTCTATACTCTTGTTTAACTCATTTAATCCCTGCTCATCACACTATTCCGTTGAATAGTGGAATGTGCATTAAACTACATTACCCATAATGCTGTAATGAGTTTCCTCCAATCAGAAAGTTTGCAGAGAGGAAAGCACTAACAAAAGGGATCCCTGGTTGATGTGAATGGTGGAATAAATATACGCAAGTTTTGCAATAAACATACAACATATATTGCTTATAGAAGTATCCTCTTAAGGATTGTAAATATTTTTTATTTCTCTTTGCTTAAGTTGGGCTTATTGGAACCTAATTAGAATAAAAATATTAGTATCATCTTTTGATAGGATGTACTTTAGAGAAAAATCATGTCCACATATGTGGACTCATGGTCCGAATTTACATAAAACACTTTTTCCTGAATTTTTTATGCATATTTAACACAGATTTTTTTTTAACTTGCTTTGACTATCAGAGAGTAAAAACAACCATTTTGTCCCATTTCGGACAGATTAAATTAGGGTTTGGGACATTTCATATGCTGCAAAACAGTTGCAGGATGACACTGCATGTCTGCAACAAAATATAAAACATTCAAAGTGTTTTAAATAGCCACCTGAGAGCTAAAAATGTGCTTTCCAAATATGTGGACACTCGAGCCCTGGGAGGGTTCAAGCAACAACTTTAAACATTATAATTTTATGAACTATTTATATATTATATTCCATTGTTGTTTCTAATATAGCTGTGTCATTTGCAGTGCAGTATATATAGCTTGTTGTCTGATTTTCATATCACTTCTTTATTTAAAATCACATGACTGTAATCTTTGACCTATACATCAAAGCCAAGGTTTTGTCTTAAGCAATAAATCATGTTTGACAATCACCAGGTAGTGACGGATGGAAACCTCAAATCCACCACAGCGACCACTATAGACAGCGGTGGCATCTCACCCAAAGCCAGCACTGACCAAATGGACCCCAAACTTAATGGAAAATCCTTTAAAAAGTCTCTTCCGTCAACCAAGAAAACCAACAAGAGAGGTATGATCAGCCCAGGCTTATTACAAATGTGTGTATAAGCCTACAATTTAGCAAAACGTAAAATACATTGCTCCTGGTACATTTGGTTGCATGTTTCAGATAACAAATCCACTAGAGGGCGCTGTCTACATTTTTGCAAATCTGAAATACCAACGCTATCTCATTGCAACTCGTAACTTTTTGATTTAGTAGCTAATTTGTATGATTCAATCTCATTCGTACGATTTGCTAATCCCCCAATGATGGTTGGCTTTAGGGGTGGGGTTAGGTGCCACGCCTCCTTTTAAAAATCGTTCATTAGCCACAAAACTGACAAAATAAAAAATAGTTACACTTCCTCATGAAATCAGGCTGGAAATATGTTACATGTTTCAGAAACAGGTTCGTCTTGTAGACGTTTACTAGAAGGTAGCACGTGTACAGATCAGCTAGCTACACCGTTCGCTAAAAACAACCAATGATGTTTTCAAAAGCAAACGTAAGAGAAAGGTGCACTGCGGCTGCATAGTTTTACCTTTATTTTGCATTACTTTTATCTCGCTTGTGGTAGCATGCTTTATCAAACTCGTACCCGAGCGCTCTGCAGCACAAGTGTAACACCACGTAAAATGAGCTACGAGCAAACTGACCTCACCAGGAAAGTGTCCATATGGAGATACACTCTCTGAAATAAAGGTACAGGAGCTGTCAGTGGGGCAGTTTATTTTCAAAAGGACCCCGAAGGGTCCATAATGGTACCTCAAAGGCAGAGATGTATAGTAACGAAGTAGAACTACTTCACTACTGTACTTAAGTACTAAAAGGCAGTATCTGTACTTTACTGGAGTATTATTTTTTTCTCCTACTTCCACTTTTACTTAAGTACATATTTTCCATGAGTTTAATACTTTTACTCCGATAGATTTTTTATGTGCTGCATCGTTACTCGTTACTAGGGGTGTCAAAAGGATCGATATCAGTTCAGTAATAGGTCATAACCGGTGATTACGTGATGACGTCATTTATCTCCTATGCGCGATGTCGCAATACTATGGCGGAGGACGGAGGCGCGAGTGAAGGCGGCACACGAGCCGCTAATTTACTATTAGGGAGAAATGTTGTAAAACTTCACCTCTGCCTCTCTCTTTCTCACTTTGGACATTTGACCCGCTGGCCTGTTTGTAAGGTAACTTTCCCTCTTTTCTTGGCTGTTAAAGCTGTCAATCCATCCAGACACGAGCGTGCCTGATGTTCAAGTTTTCTCCACTGTTGTCTATTACCTGTGATAACCGCGTATTCTTCCCGCCATGGGTGAACAGCGGTTCATTTCTAAAGCCCTTTCTGTTGAGCAGATGAAGATAATAACCAATCATCATAAGACCTCGCCTGTCAGCGCTCAAAAAGCAGGCGGTATAATATTGACATGAGTTTATTAGCTGTAAATGCTCATGCTGTCTTCTGTGCATGAGTTTTGTTTGATACATTCAGAAAGAGTGCTTTCTTTAAGCAGGTCAAATTAAGAGTACAGTTCATATATCTGACTGCTGTATTAAAGAACAAAATTGTATTAAAAATAACCCTATAACTGTCACACCAAGACAAAAGCAATAGATTTTTTTTATTGCATTTCTTAACTCATAATGTCGCTATTTAACACAGTCAATGCATTTTTTTTCTCAACACATCCCATAATTTCTAAAATATCAGCCTCTTCCAACTGGTTAAGATGTTGGTTTATGGTAAAAGTACCAGAATTAATAAATATACTACAGAACATATGAAGTGCAAGACCAATTTAATTAAAAACATAATCAAAATAAAAAAAATTAATACTAAACCATAGCCATAAGCCATAAAGTATTTTAGATTTTCTTTTAACACAGTACTATACACGCTTTCCTGGTTTTCTTTTTTTTTTTACAATAAAATCAAAATCAAGTGAATTAGTGCAACAGGATTTAGTTTGCTTGTTTAGTTTAGTTTCACGACTGCTTCCAGAAGACATAACTCCTGTTTATTGTGGTATTAACCAATCAAACTTCAAAACTACCAAAGTGTGAGTGTGTGTGAGTGAATAATGCATGTAAGAGAGAAACAGTGTGATTGTACCTGTGTGTGTGTAAGAGAGAGAGAGAGTGTAAAAGAGTGTATTTTCGTGTTTGTGTGTGTGTGCGCTCATGTATATGTATAACAACATCGGTATTACACAGATGTTAGGAGGAGATGGTGAATTATGTGGACATTATGTATAAAATTCAATCACACTAAATATTTTTTTTATTTTCAGAAAGTAAAACTACACATAATTTCCTGTAAGGGTTGGGTTTAGAGATTGGATTTGGGGTTAGAGCATTCAAAAGTATAGTTTGTAGAGTATAAAAACAATTGTAACCTATGTAATGTCCCCACAATTCACAAAAATGTGTGTGTGTGTGTGTGTGTGTGTGTGTGTGTGTGAGAGAGATAGTGAGAGAACTGTGTGTGAGAGTGTATGAATGTGTGAGAGTGTACATTTAGGTGTGTGTGTGTGTGTGTGTGTGTGTGTATGTGTGTGTAAAAGAGAGAGAGTATGAATGAACATGCTGAATTATCTCATCAGTGAAGTGATTTTCTGGTAAAAGAGCCTGACGATGTGAGTTCTTGTACCATAGAAACTATTTACAGAGAAAAACAGTATCGTAAGCCATGTTTCTTTTCATTCTGCTTAATCAAGTGCCCCAAAGATATTTAAAATAAACAAAACAATATGATGTCTTTTGACTGCCTTCTTTAATAACTACATTACACAATACTTGTACTTTTACTTTCAGTACTTGAGTAGTAAATTTTGAAATAAACTACTTGCAATACTTAAGTACTAAAAATGTTGAATACTTTTGTACTTCCACTTAAGTATGGTGCTTAAAGAGCACTTCTACTTCTACTCAAGTCACTTTTTGATAGAGCACTTGTACTTTTACTTAAGTATGGGTCTCTAGTACTTTATACATCTCTGCTCAAAGGTACTTTTTAGGTACATTTGGGTACTAATATGCACCTTTGAGGTACCATTGTGGATGCTTTGGGCACAAATATGTATCTTTTGAAAAGGTTCTGCCCCAGTGACAGCTCCTGTACCTTTATTTCTGTGAGTGTAGATAGGTGAAGGAAATGTATTCATTACGAATCATAGACAGCATTAAGTTATTTTGTGGTATTTATTTGGTGTTAGGCAAAAATCTGCATGAAAATAATAATTTATTCATTATTAATATGTCCCTGTAAATATCATTAGTGTGAAAAGGAACATAGGTTGTCGTCATACTGCCACCTAGTGTTCAGTTCACCCATAAACTGCATTCATACCTATTTTAAAGTATGTTTATTTTGCTGTTTTGTAGGTTTAAGCATGTATTTGCCATTAGTTTGTTTTCATATCATGTAAATCAGTTGGTTTGGATAAGAGAAGTTCATTTCAAATGTACTGGACTACATTGTTATAAACATGATTGGTTTTGTTGGAATACATTATAATTAAAATAATACTGCATTAGTTAATCGGATTTAAAGTAATGCTTATTTATTTATTTATAATTTTTTTTCAATTAATTAGAAAATTACGCATGGCCTACAATGTAATCTAGTTTGGCTCATTAATTATCCGTCCACAGCTTACATTGATATTTTGATTTTGGCCCTTCATACTTAAAAATTTGGGCATCTCAATCTAGATATTATTTTATCTTCCAATGTACTTCTTTTGCCATTCCTTCTTCTTCTTATGAGTTTTATTGGCGGTTGGCATACAACTTTTAGGTGCATTACCTCCACCTGCTGGTTAGGAGTGTGGGCCATGATCTCGCTTTCTATCCATCTTTAGAAAAGTTAAAAACAAATAAATAAAAAAACAACAACATTGAATAAAAAAACCCACACCACTTATATCTATATTCTTTTATTTAATTTAGACATATAAAATAAAAAAGTATTAAAAATTCTATACAGTCCTCATTTGACTGGTTTCTTTAGCATTTTAACCAAATTAAAATTTGTATTAATTATTTTCAAATTTAAAATAAACACTTTCCTTTCCCCATTGCATTTTGGACACTTCATAATAACATGCACGGTTTCTTCTTGCCCACAATAATCACATTTTCCAGTCTGATGTTGATTCATTTTAAACAATGTAATGTCGAGTCCCGCATGTCCAAATCTAATTCTTGATATTATTCTCTCTTCCCTTCTACTTCTACTTGTTATTCTCCCTTTATTTACATTTCTTTGTATATTAAACAACCACCTCCCATTTTTTCCTTCCCCCCATTGTTTTTGCCACCTATTTATTTATTTTTTTAAATCGCTTGACTAAAACCTTCATCTCACTTTTACTATATTTGATTTCCATGTTTGCCATTGCTCAACAGTGCTGCTTTTATACCAAATCCTAATCACATTCACCTGCTGACATCACCTGCTTCACATCACATCATCATTCAACCAGTTTACCTGATTACTAGCCCTGTCCCAACTGTTATTGAAATGTATTGTAAGAACCAAAATAGCTAAAATACATGTTTATTTAGAAATAAAATACGATAAAAATCACAAGGAATACATTAAATAATGTTTATTGCATCATCTGCAATGAAGCGCAAGTCAAATTAGAAACAAAAATCACCACTTTCTTTCTGTTTCTTTTTCCAAACTTGTTCTGATTTGGGGTTGTAACAGGTAGTGTCTAAAAAGCACAGATACATTAACAACCGTCAATCTTTCTCCATCTGCAGTGTGCTTCTGGAAGTACTGCTCTCAGAACTGACCCTCGCTGATTTCTGCAAACGGCCTGCAACAAATCCTGTTCTCAAACACGGATGCTTAAACTCTTCCCAGCGGAGCCTCAATAACACGACTGACCCTCTGCCCTGTGACGTGTGTACTGTACCTTTAACTATGTGCACCAAATTATGTTAACTTTCCATCTTGCAGCGTCTTCCTTGTTGCAAGCTCCAATAAAACATGACACTGCATGCAAAAATGCTGTGATAATAAAGAGAACTTTATTTTCCTACAGACATCTCTCGCCGTGATCATTGCACAATGAGATCTAATAACTTTATTAGCCCTCCTGTGAAATTAATTACATGGTGGCTCAGTGGTTAGCACAGCAAGAAGGGTGCTGGTTCGAGTCCCAGTTGGGTCAGTTGGTATTTCTGTTTGCAAGTTCTCCCCGTGTTGTTGTGGGTTTCCTCTGGGTGCTCTGGTTTCCCCCACAGTCCAAACACATTCGCTATAGGGGAAATGGTTAACAAATATTTTGATAAGTCTAAACTATATTGCTTATATAAGCATGGGCGTAAATCTGATTTAACAGTAGGGGGGACAATAAATATACATTTTTTTCAGATTTCTTTATTCTAAATCTTTAGGAAACGTTTTTGGTACATCAAAAGTGGTAATGATGACCACCCGACAAGCTAATCCAGCTAAAAATAGTGCTTAAAATGTCAATTCAG